CTGCATTGAGCACGGCCACATTCACGTGCTCCGTTGGCCCTGCTGTTACCGCAATTGCCGCTGCCAGTGCCCCTGCTGCCACCGTCACGGTGGCGGTTGCAGCTGCCTCAACTGATGTTGCCGGCGGTGTGCAGCTGCTCGAATGTGTTGCTGCGGTGAAGGCCAACGGACTCGTCCGCCTGCTTAACGGGACACTTGTGAACATAGTGACCAGGCTGTCTGCAGTAGTGACAGGTGTCGCCGGCCCCCACGGTGCCTGCAGCACCACCGGTGCTGCCGATTCCACTGGCAGCACGGCCAGGGCCGACAGCTCCCACCAGGCTTGTCTTGCTTGCTTGGGTCTTAAGGTTGTTCTCCTTCTCACGCAGCATGAGCACGAGCTGTGGGGTCGTTAAGTTGGGCTGATACATCGTGAACTCGACGGTGATGGTGCACTGTGGAGGCAGGCCATGGAGAATGGCGTGGTGCATCATGCTCTCGTCCTACTGGCCGCCGGCCACAATTATATTGCTACGGAGCTGCTCTGCCTGCTGAATGAAGTCAGTGGTTGTCTTCCCATCGCGCATGCTCAGCTGCTTCTGCGGCTCCAACAGGCTCAGCCGGGCCTGGGATGCAGAACGCAACTGTTGCTGCACGGCGGCGAGGGTGGTCTGGCAATTCCTGAGCAACTGCTTGATGGGCAGTTTACAGGACAGATGCAGGTAGCCGAGCGCCTGTGCGTCCTCCTCCAGGGCGTCTTGGGCGTTGCGGCCCGGAGGCGACGGGTGTTGATGTAGTCTTCAACTTGGATGTTGCAAGGAAATCGCCTAAGTCGCCGAGCCACTGGGAGTAGTTCGACCCATCCGAGAGGAGGACACCCTTACATCCCTTCCCCATGATGGTTGCCTAGCGAGCATGACTGATCAAGCCGCGTTCCCGCCGCCTTTCTGGCAACTAGTTGATGGTATGATGCATCATTGTTGCGGTGCACGATGGCTCCTGATGCGATTTATGCCCTTTCAGCCTCCCAGGCATGTTCCCACTTGCCTCACAGCCACCGACACATCTCACGGCGTAAATTGTGTGCATGTTGGATGCAGCGTTCCCCGCCACATTTCGGCAAATAGTTGATGGTGTCATACATCGTTGGCACGGTGTAAGACGGTGCCTGATGCGATTTATGCGTCTGGAAGCCCTTTCAGCCTCCCAGGCATGTCCCCACAACTGCCTCACAGCCAGCGGGGTTCTAATTGCGTGCGCGTTCGCATGCGGCATATGTCCCGCCGCCTTTCTGGCATCTGTTGATGGTATGATGAATTGTTGTGCGATGTAAGGCTGCACCTGATGTGATCTCGTTTGCAGAAGGGCCCCCTGAGTGCTGCCAAGCATGTTATTCTCTTATGAGGATGCGTGAAGGTTAACGAACTGAGTATGCGACCAACACATAAAACATCGCATGTGAATTGTTATGTCATGCGATTAATCAAAGTAAATCGTGTGTGTTTGGTGTGTGTTTGGTGTGTTAGGCCGCAGTAAACTTGACGCAACGAGCCTTCATACGCTTGAAACGCAACATTTGTTTGCATGCGAATTGCGTTGCGACATGTGTGCGTTTGGTGTGTGTTAGGCCGCGTTAAGCTTTACGCAATCAGCCTTCATACGCATGAAACGCAACAATGATTCGCATGTGAATAGCCTTGCGGACTGTATGCGTTTGATGTGCGATTGGACGCGTATTGCTTTACGCATTGTCTCCCCACACGCACGAATCGCAATATGGAATCGCATGCGTATCGCCTTGCTACACAGGCGCGTATGCTTCGCGTTTCAACATACGCACGGATTGAAGTTTATTTCCAAATGAACCTTTACAATCTGAAAATTATAAAATTTAAAAATTTTAGCCAGGAGGGCCGATTTCCGCTTTTCCATAGCCGTTGTGCGTTAGCTCTTTGCGTTACACAAGCATGCTCATTCGCACCTAACGCTAAGATTCGCACCGTTACGCGAGCTAACGCGGACTTAAGGCGATTACCCGTCGTCATAGTGTGTCGTGGTCATGGCGAGCACAGAGGGTTGCAAAAACGGTCTAATCCCCCAATCCCGGGGGGTGGTAGTGGTCAGCCATCCCCCCATCCTGGCTGGGGTGACCGACTCCCATCTCCCATCTTAGGGGCCCGGTGCTAATCCCATCCTTTGAGACAGGTTTCCCATCCTGCCAGCCTGGGTCCCATCCCCAATCCTATGGCCAGGGTTTCCAATCCCATCCTGCAGCTGTGTTCCCCCAATCCTCATCCTGCCAGCCAGGGTCCCTTCCCAATCCCTTCGACCAGGGCCATCCCCATCCTGCAGCTGTGTTCAGATCCGAAAGCTGTCAGCCAGGGTCCCATCCCCATCCCTTGCCAGCTACAAACCTATTCCTTACGTTTACACAGGTGCTGTAATATCGGCTTTCTCTTTAGGCGTAAATCAGGGGAATGACCAGGGTTATTTTCTATTTCCGCGAGATATTTTTCTCTTGCTCTATGGCTTATTTCCTCTAGCGTCAAATTCCGCCCGGCTGTGTTCGTTCCGAAGCAGACTGAAGCGACAAACGCTCGTTGAAGCGGATCTCGACTGAGGAAGAACTCGCATCACAGAGGTCTACGTATCTAATTGCACACTGGCTGCTATTGCAAATCGCGCGTCCTAAGGGGGGAAGGACTGTTATGTTCGAAGGACGGCCACAGCA